TCCTTTCCTCAACTCTAAGTCTACGAATCTTGCGAGCTCTCAAAGTGTATTCGTAAACCCTACGCGTAACTCGTTTTATCCGAGTTGCGCTCTGTACTCCATATGATAGAACAATTCGTTTGATGAAGTAAGTTGATCGTCCACTGGGGTGTACGCCATTGAGTTGCGTTCGGTGCTCGCTTGGGGGACTTGAACTTATACTCTGGCCTCTTTCCTCTATGCTAATTCCAATGAATATCTCTACACTAGGACTTTTCAAACTGTCTCTCCCGGGACGGTCTACTTTACTAAATTTCAATTTGCAGCTAGTGCACTCTTATTTCCGTACGTTTCGCAGTATATTAAGGTTCTCTCGTTCGTATGAAAATAGTCTACACCATGCTACTCGTACAGCAATGTCTAGCTGACTCATTCACTGAGAGAGTGGACCAAGAGTTCGAGAAGTTCAAGCAAAAGTACAGCGGGTCGATCAGTAGGCGCGTGGTCGGTAATTGTCAGCGTCGTAGTTGCTAGAGAGTGAAGGGCTTATAAATGAACCACTATTGCGGTAGATACAATGTTCAGTATGCACCGAATGAAGAGAGCTACCGTCGTGAAGTGTTTAGCCGCAATTTCCAATGGATCGAAGAGCAGAATGCTCGAGGTATGTCCTCATAACGGGAGCGGTGCATCGATTTTTCCGCTTCAGGGGACTTGACTTACGCCCTCGGCGTTACTAGGTTCTGCGACAGGACGAATAAAGAGTTCACGAGTACGGCTGCGGGCTTGGAGGGCTCAGTAGACGACTTGAAAAGTAAGATGCTATCTTGGTCCCTTTGGTCTTGATTCATCCCAGGTCAAGTTATTCTCCAATCTGCTGCTCAGTCAATGAAAGAGGACCCTCCCCAGTCTGTGAACTGGGTAAAGAGGGGGGTGGTTGGTCCCGTGAAGGACCAAGGTGAATGCGGCTCTTGTGCATCGTTCGCTACCGCAGGTCAGCACTAAGTCACGACATTGAATTGCAGCCTCACTGCTCATGTGTGTAGGTGCATTGGAGAGCTATTATGCCATGGCCACAGGCCATACCAACGACTCTATAGTGCCACTGTCTGAGCAACAGATATTAGACTGCTATGCTTCAGCGTAAGTTGACAACGTATATAGGTTATAGAGCCACAGGAGAATATTGAAACTGCATAGATCTTGCAATGGTGGCCTGCCTAGCGGAATTTTCACCTACGTGAAAGACAACGGAATAACGAGTGAGAAGAACTACCCGTACGAGGCGTCTAAATCCCGCGACTACAACGAGCCTTGTAGAACTAACCTGCTGGATAAAGATGACCTCATTATCAAGGTAGTGCAGATAGCAGTTCTTGCTTGCTGTAGAGTCAAGTCTCAGCCTGGTATAGTCACGGGTTATACCACAATCAATGGTGGTGACTATCAAGGTTTACTGTCGGCTGTAGCATTCCAGGGTCCTGTGGCCACTTTGATCGATGGAACTACTCCACCGTTCCAGCACTACAAATCTGGTGTTATCACTGGTACTTCAATGCTCCGTTTCGGTGAGATCCACTTCTGAGGCAGGTGTCTGTGATAAAGTCACTTTACACATTGTTGTCATTGTCGGTTATGGAGAGACTTCAGAAGGCATCAAGTACGAGGCTTTGTCGATAATAGTTAGATAATGCCAGCAGTAGGTACTGGCTCATCAAAAACTCGTGGGGTACGGAGTGGGGCGAAAATGGATATGGTAAAGTTGAGAGAGACACCGGTGGATTTGGTAGGCACTAGGCTCCGAAGGAGGATTAGTGGGCCTATTTTCCAGGGATGTGTGGCATCAATACACTGTCGTGGTATCCCAAATTAAACGTATCCAATGCTTCGATCACCACAACTCCGCCTAGTACTACTACTAGTAGTAGTCATCCAAAGTGAGTATAACATCATTTCCGACCTCCCAGCTCTCCCTCAGAAATGCTGCTGTCGTTAACAACCCTTCTCTGGTTGGTATATTGACTTTGATAGCCCTCACAGTGAAAGGCCTACGCGTTTGATCTTCGTGCTCAACTACGAGACAACCTCAGTAAGAAGGTTGCAGCAAGCGGTGGTCGGGTATCAATTTTGATCTCAATATCACCCCCGGCGAATCTGCATTGACGCTTCGTCGTCCCTTAACACTCATTAGCGCGGCCGTCTCATCTTTTTCTCTTACGTTGCCGTGGCGATAACAATCGATGGTTTGCTTTAAAGTATGCTTCATTCGAGTGTTGCAAATCGTGTTGTGCGGCCGAGCATGGGGATCGGGAGTGGCACCATTGAAAACGAGAACAACGATTGGTAGTAACTATTTCTTTCGAACGTTAATACGTATCTGTTAACACGAGTACTAATTTGTTAGTAATTCACTCGTACCTTTCATTCAGGATATTGGGAGAATGACGCGGACACCGTTTGTCGAGAAAAAAAGCGCTGATCTTCCTCGTCAATCAACATTCAATCCACAACAGGCGCAGAGGCCTCAAGAGAGCGCATAACTCGCTTGAACGAGTCGCCAATTCAACTTCATATAAACTGAACGACGAGTCATCTACGATGAAACGCAGAATTAGCATGCTCCTATAGAATTGTTTCACATGGTTTATCAGTCATAAACTACCACACTGATGAAGTATGTCACGCTTGAACAGGAGTAATGAGGAGTTTAAGCCGTCAAACAGCTGCGTCTACTCAAAACTCTCAAACTCTAACTCTCTCTGGTATCGAACTTCGAATGGTAGTACCATTATGGTACCTGGGAAGAGAACAATGAATTGAGCTACAATATCTTGACGGCCATGAGCATTCGCACCGAGCTTCAAAAATGTCTTAATTTCGAGAACTCGGCGCGTTAGATTTTGATGTGATCCATTGTGCGGCACAAGGGATCACATTTAAAATCTGTGTGGCACAAGTTCTGCCACTTGAACGGGCCTAGCGGAGGTCTGCTCGCGCATGCCCGTCGTAAAGGTGCTGACTTATTACAGTCTACAACTCGGGGAGACTGCCACACAGAAACTACACACTCCACAGTGTGGAGTCCACAGGCTGTGACCACAGCGTGGAACTCACATGAATCTTTCAACGCAACGAGTAGAGTTATGCTACGCATAGATGCAGTGATACTACTGTCTCTGGTCAACGGTTCACTTCGGGGTAAGGTGGATCATACCACAACAATCGTTGTTCCCAATAAGAACCATAATCTGGAACGCTCACGGTGATGTTGCTAAACAACCTACTGCGCGTACGGGAGTGTCATTCTCACACAGTCAAAACGCATGGACGAGATTCCAACTGCCTCCAAAGCCGCAGGGCCCATGTTGAAGCCGAAAACCACCCTGTCAGTCTAGTATATGTTTCCGTCCGTACTGACAAAGTAACTTCTGGTAGCCAAAGTGCAGGCGGTAGAACGCTTTACTGATGTCCATGAACTAGCAGATAGTGTGAGATATTAAACCATCCCCTACTCGTGAACCCCATGGGTGTAAAATCATCCGAAATAGCTTGCCATAGGTATCCCGCTGTTCAACTTGCTGGCGTCACTGCAGGGTCTACATTTGGTTGATTTCCCTGGTGACTGACTGGGAAGACCAAATTTTGCTGCTTACACGCGCAATCAATACGGTTGTAAGGAATCAGTAACTTCCCATAGATGTCTTGTGACTCCACTGATAATAACCAGCTGACATGAGCTTGAAAATCGAGAATCAGAATTGGATCTCGACACAGGTTTTTAGCGTGTGGTTTTCCATCATGCATCACCAACAAGAACACAAACTGTTTCACACAGTGTGCTCAGAATACGGCAGCTAAATAACAAGAATTTGATCGTATCGATCATGAGCGTGTCGGCAAAATTCTAGGCCTCCGTCCACCTCCGCAAAAACGCTTGCGATCACATGACCAGGTGACCTGTTTCTCGGTACTGATCGTAACCACAAGGAAACTACAGGTTGCCGAGAATCTGTGCTGAGCGCGTTCAACTGAACGCACAATGTGTGAGACAGTGGTCCTCCAGTCTTCATTCAATTGCATGGAAGCAATCGAATTGAAAAACGCTGGATTCCAAGATATGGAACGTCTTCGTCAAATCTTACCTCTCAAGCGACTACTAGTTCGAATCACTTACCGCGCTGAATGACTGATGATATGACTTCCACTCCTAATACGATATGAGTTGCAGAACCAACCTCTACACACGTTGCACTGTACCACACACTCAGGAGAACTCAAATACAAATACCAGTACCTGCAACAACCAATTCAATGATAACAATCCGACCAGCAAAGGCAGAGGACACTTAAGAAAGACTCATTCGACCAACCGATACATTTGCTATAATAATATGCTACAATATAGGTCGCTACGTCGAGACACTTTATGCGTACGATTCCATAGCAGGAGTAGTAACAGATTCTGACACTTAAAGGCGACCCCAACTTACCCGTTCGCTTTTGTCATAGATACCGATATTCCTGACAGGTTTCCACAAACATCGATCACCCTGATACGGCCATACTATGCCTATACAAGAAACCGCCCTGCGGGAGAAAACTGCACCTACGATCTACTACTACCCAGCCACTGAATACGCACTCAATTTCATCATAGCAACCGCAACCCTTCCGATCCAAAACACTACCTGGGGCTTCCCTGTAGTAGATATATCGGCATCTAAAAGGTCAGTGATTACATCACTTCTTCTTATCAGTCTGAAGCCCCCACTAGGCCACCATTACGCTCTTATTATCGACACCACCAAGGTCCTCGATACCTAACATGTACTTGTGAAAAACAAGTTGATTAGGAAATGAACTCACCTCTCAAAAACTGCGATTCTCCATGCTATGAGAAAAGAAGTCGCTACAGTTTGACATCATGAAAAGATCGATCAACTTCCGATAATGCATCTACCTCCCATAATGCGCACTGCGAAGAATTCGAAGACACGCCGAACAATGGAAACCATTATAACGGAGTTTACGTATGTCATAGCCATCATCACTGTTGCCATTCGATGCAGTGATAACAATAGGAACTTGGTAAATCGTAGTATACGAGTCACTTGCCACTTATTCTCCTGGACTTCCGATAGGCTCTATCCTCTGCATCAAGATCTCCTATCTCCTTACGTCTCTTCAACCTAATAGCTCAACACTAGCAATTTTAGTACTACACTCAACAATACTTACTCTTGTCTGGCTATCATCGCAGCCGATCGAGCCACACCTGCCTCGTCAACAGCAGTACTTGCAACATCATACCTACCACAAGGAGCACACATCACCATCTATCCTACATCTCCCTGCAGGAAGAGCCTTACAAGAGATCTCTAAGATCGACCAACAAGCGTCTGCTGCTGGGATCATGTACCAGATACGGTGCTTGAGCCTAATACACTCCACCCTATAAAATCGCCTCCACTTCATTACAATAGTACTTGTATAAGACTAAGGCCGACAGACAGGCACAGCTCAATAGGCAGGCCCCCTCTTATGGCGGCTTGCTGAGACAGAGGTACTGAATGAAGGAAGGATAGGAGATCCACCAGCACCGATAGTAGCCGTCTGGAGTACCTAAATAGCAGTACGCAATCACACAACCAGAGTGCCCAAATATGCATATTCCAAGGGAATTATGGTAAATTGCCATAAAATGAGTAGAGAACATTCCTATTACGTGACAGGCAAAGCGAGTACAACTTCCTGCATGTCCGCTACGGGGATGGCTGCCATTATACGTAGTGTCTGAGCATCAGTGAATGCATTGATAACTACATCAACACGCTCACCTTAATAGACTCTTGCGGACTTGATTTCTTCTCTTCAGCATCACCCTCCTCAGCCGAAGCCTCTCTAACCTCATCTAGAGCCTCCATCAAGCGCTCTGCGGACTTCACCGTTTCCATAGTACCTACAGCACCACCATGCTCTTCTAGGTAAGCACGCCTCAGTGTAGTACGTCTAGTAGGCCTAGCCATAGTCACTACGGCTGCCTCCCTAGCGGTCTCCTCCTCTAGCTGTCTATCAAGGGCTTCCTCTTGTTCCTGACATCATCAGCTTGGGGCATTAACCATACAACAACAGCAACTGGACTACCAATGCTCTACCACTACGCGGAACAACATTTCATACAAGGCAATGATCAACTTGAAAAATACGACTACTTCCAAATATATTCCAACATCATATACATGGTCCCCAGAAACAACCTCGTGGCGAAATTAAAATGATCGGGAACATAAGATTGTCTAACGCCTGGTTCACACCTCAACGTTAACAAAGGTTTCATTTGCGACTTGTATATTGTACCACGTGCGACGTGTATAATTGTGTATTCACGAAAACACTATATAATATACTACCTCCTCGATGAACATCTGCTCATCACTCCTTTTCCACAGCCTTATACATCTATCAGCGCCTCCACTTGCCAACAATGCACCATCAGCATCACATGCTACTGACCATACATCACCATTATGACCAGGAAATGATGTTATCTCCTCCGATCTGAACAACCTTCCCATGTAAGCCACATATAAGCCACCACTACTACTACTACCTATCACAATCCCACAGTTTCAACAGCCCATCGACCTTGCCGACACTGGCTAAGTAGTGTGTCTGCGGCAACCATGCAATGCTCGTCACCGACGACTCATGAGCTCGGAGAGAATGTAGACAATTACCTAAGGAAATAATTGTTATTATTTTTCCCCTTTTCTCAATGCTTACCGAATTTAGGATGCCATAATTTGATATTCTTATCAGCCGAACCCGAGGCCAGGAGTTGTCCATCATCAGAAAAGGCAACCGTGAGCACCTACCGGCTCGAACACTACAAAGCGTATGAACCACTGAGTTCCTTACAGGCAGTTGATGGCCATACAAAGTGAGGAACTGCTTCCCAGTATCAGCATAAACAACAGTAATAGTAGAGTCAAGCAAGCCGATAGCCAAGAACCTAATAAACCCAACGTTTTACACTGGGTAAAAATTTCCGTAATAATACTACTACCTGGGAGCATCAGGTTTCTTCTTATCCTTAGGAGACAGCGCAACACAAAGGCCATCATCATTCAATGTCAAGCGTTTGGACTCATCCTGGAATGGCAACTATCACCAGAACGGCCGGACATACCAAACCTATTACCTCTATTAGTATAGACGACTCGTCATCAACATTAGCCAAGTCAGTGGTGTAGTAACGTAACGTCTTATCAGCACCAACTGTGATGAAGTTATCTGATCAGATTTGAGCGATGCAACTCGAAGAACTCAACGTGCCATAACACATGGATTGCCGATTATTACTAGAATAGTAGTACTCTTGCACTGCTGTAGTAGTAGTAGTAGTACTATGTTTATTATGGCATAAACCCGAGCTCTTTACATCATAGTTATATTAACCAGAAATTTTAAGCTAATAACACTATTATATAACTACTACAAGATGTCAGAGTCATTATAGAGCACTCTCAGCGAGCTGGGATACTCTGATGAAACATTCACACCCGAACGCTCGCACAGGAGTGCAAGACATTTCCAGCGACCCCATTTACCACCTTCCCCATCAGGATCATCACAAATGCCATACAGAGGCTGTCCTTCCTCTGAGGCGAGTACCTACATAACAGGAGGCGGTCACCATACACACCAACTGACTCTACCACAACCATATACTACTACTACTACCCGACATCTACATTCCCCTGTCTGTAAGTCGTACACTGCTAGACAACCGTCTTTACTCCCACACACCACGTGCTGGTTACCAGCATACCAACGACCACATAGAACTGATCAACAACAACAACAACATCATCATCGAGCCAAACTTGGTCCTAGACGCCCTACTATAGCCTGTATTGTCTATATGCCTCACGCACTGCTTGCTACTCTGAGCAGTCCATACCCTCAACGACTCGCCCGAGCATGACAACAACATCGTGCTATCCGCTGAGAAGGATACAAACCTAAACACAAGACCTCTCCCCCTCCATATAACACATTATCATTATTACCGCACAGCTTGACGATGGCCCTTCGTTACGATACTCATACGCTCCTTCTCAGCAACCTCGACACTTTCCTCATCCTCCTGGCCCGACCTCTGCAGCTCCACCGTAAGCGATGGTATCTACCACCAATCAATACCTTACTACTCTCAACTACTATCATCGTTGCTACCAAGTGGATAGAGTTATCCAGCAGGCCAACACAAACTGAGTCCTTA